CAGTTATAATAATTACTATATTGAAAATTTCGAAAATATTATATGTAATTACTTTATCTATATCCTGAAGAGAAAGTACCCGGTAAGCGACAACAAAACAAAACAAAAAAAAAGTTGTCTAATGCATTCATATTAACCTACGTGTTTTAGAATGTAAGGATTGGTTGCCTTAAAAACTTGGTGTATAACCATGTATATGATGAAGTACTCGTACGTTGTGAACCATCTTCTATACCTGATGAAATACTTGGCCTTTTTGATTCGGATGTGGCTTCTAGTCTTTCCAGTTTTTTGAATCCCTTAACTTTAGAAATGAAGAACCGTATGCCCACGCTTCCAGTGTCAAAAGTCAGCTTGAATAATGGACCTTTCAAAATTCTACCTGTCTTAAGGCATATTCTAGAACAGTATGAAAATTTGCATATGGCACAACCTTCTCCAATTGACAAAGACAATGCCAGCAAGTTCGTACCTCCCAGACTTTTTAGTTTGTTTCCGAATCCCGGGTTGGGCTGGCGATTTATAAAGGTCGACGCTCAGAACCTCACAGGCATTCTCCCCGAGGCAAAACAAGAAAAGCAAATCAACGAGTCTCCATTTGATCATAACCAAAGACAGTTCTTCCAAATGTTTGATTTTAAAAAGCTAGGATTTCGAAGGTATTACTATTTGATATTTCTATATTCAAGTTATTAATGATAATCATGTAGTTGGGAAGAGCTCAAAAATATGCCCGAGCAAAGAGGAAGGATGTTTCTTAATGGAATGTACACCGATGATTATACATGTAGTGTCTTGTTCTGTAGAAAGGTGCTTCTGTCGTCAGTAGCATATGGTGTTTCTCTAGAACTGAGTGATTTTACGACCGACGAAGTAGATAAATATTTTCGTCCATGTACTGTGGACCCAGGAAGAAAGGATGCCTTTGTCTCTTATCACGGTGGCACCGACATACGCCGTCTGTCCTCTGCTGAGTACTACAGTATGAGTGGAACTGTAAACCGCCAGAAAGCACAACAAGGTCGTAAACAAAGCTTAGGTATCGAAAGCATTGAAACAAATATACCTTCGCCAAAAACTGCATCCACTCAACGATACATGCTATATATAACTTATATATTGCAACACATGGACTCCCTATTTAACTTTTACAATTTTGAGACTACAAAGCTAAAATGGCTAAACTATATTGGGTCACAAGAGGTCATTCAAGAAAGCGTAAATATACTGTTGAATGGTGGCAAGAAATACAACAAATCACGAAGAAAAAATACAAAGAAGAACAGAAAAAAAAAGGAGAAAAGCTCGAAGACCTGCGGAACACACGCCTCATATCACACTATCAGAAAGGTATATACTCTTTTTCTATTTCTTTTTAGTACAAATTAAGCATTATTCGTATCTTACAGACGGAAGAACAAAACCCGTTTTGAAGAAGGTGACCGCAAAAAAAAGCCTCTTGTTATCTTTGATGATGGTCTAAAAAATAAAGGCCATATCAAGTTTAAAGGACTTCGACGTGGCGTCTCCAACAAGATTTACAGACAGCTAAAGCGCAGAGAGGGACTTGGAGAGTTGTTACTTCTCGATATCAACGAATTCAAGACTTCCAAGGCTAGTATAACAGTGATCATAAATTATACGTTCTAAACAATATCTTTATAGACCTGCAACTCTTGCTTAAGCCAAGACCTTCAGAATCTAAAATGTGGAGAAGGTGATGACATCAAAAAAATCCATCAAGTATTAAAGTGCAACACTTGTAATATTTTTTGGAACCGTGATGTTATGGCAGCCAAGAACATGTTGACTATTTCACGTTGTATTTGGAATGGTCAAGGTCGACCTAATGTCTTCAAAAGACAACTCACCACCTCCAATGTGGTTGCCTCATCCCACTCCGGTGGAGCGCTGGCTTAAAGATTTTACAGGTAAAAAGTGCCTGTACCGCCTATCCAGAAGCCCTATTGCCTGACTAACAGCCTTTCAGCCATGGCAAGACTTCCTCCACAACAACTACTCACTCGAATTTACCGCTTGGATTCGCAACTACAAAAATGCCAGCTCCCAACAACAATTTGAAACATCAACACTTTGCTTTTAGCCATATTTCCTTTTTTATTCCTCTCTGAGGCTTCTTTTTCAGTTTCTCTCCCATTTTGAACCCAGCCGGAGCGAACAGTCTATAGACACCGCGCTCAAAGGCATATTTTTCTCAAAAAAAATAAAACTAAATTTAGTCTTCTTTAAAACTATCATGTCTGACGATTTTGAAGATATTCCAGAACTTGTGCCTGCAGGCAATATTGAAACAAAGTAAACATGACAAAAAAAAAATTAAAACAAGAAAACTGAGCATTCAAACCGGATAATAGCAATGAACCTATAGAGCAACAAAGTACCACAAACACCAAGATTCCAGTCACTATCGTTACAGGTAAAAGCATTAGCACATAACAACTTGAAAAAGTCTTACAGAGCAATCGTAGGCTTTTTGGGAAGTGGTAAAACTACACTGTTGAATTATATTTTAACAGAAAAGCACGACAAGAAAATCGCAGTTATTCTAAACGAATTTGGCGATAGTAAGAAAAAACAAAGTGTATGACAGCAACAATACATAAAAATAACCAAAACATAAGGTAGTGATATCGAAAAGAGTCTGTCGGTCAACCAGGATGGCAATTTATATGAAGAATGGTTGGAGCTAAGAAATGGGTGTTTATGTTGTTCTACAAAGTAAGAAGCGTGTAAAACTTGTAATCATGTGTATTTATTCATTTTAAAAAAAAAAGGGATGTTGGTGTAAAGGCGATAGAGAACCTAATGGAGAAGAAAGGGAAATTTGATTATATTCTTTTGGAGACAAGCGGTTTGGCAGATCCTGGTCCTATAGCATCCATGTTTTGGTTGGATGATGGTTTAGGAAGTGAGATTTATCTAGACGGCATCGTCACCTTGGTAGATGCCAAACATATCAAGGATTATATGAAGGAAGAGAAGAAGGATTTGATGATGAATGAAGCATTAAAGTAAGTATAGTCTATATATTGTTGGCAAGGCCCTGTCTTATTGTTACTGTAGACAGGTGGCTATTGCTGATCGTATTGTCATCAATAAGAAAGATTTGATCACGGATGATCAACTACAGCAGCTTCAAGAAGATTTAAGCTCAATTAACTCTGTAGCTGATATGATGGTAACCGAAAGATCAAGAATTCCCTTGGATTATATCCTAGACATCAAGGCCTATGATGTGAAGAATGTGGATGCTCTCGTTTATCAAACCAACAAGATAGACGAACATGCCAAGACGCATGCCCATGAAATTAGCCATGTAAAGAAAGAAAGAAAGAGTTAAGCTAAATGACTAATCACTTAAATAGGAGGTGCAAACTGTATGTATACAATTTGATCAGCAATTAGATAAACTTGAACCATTAGAATATTGGATTCAAGATTTACTATGGGAGAAAAAAATACAAGGGATCGAGAGTGATCCTGTTACTGTCTTGAGATTGAAGGGCATCATCTACCCACCTAAAGATAAAACGCTCTCAAATACCAAGAAAAGACTTGTTATTCAAGGTGTACAGGCTCTCTATGATATTCAAGAAGGATATTCTGAAGTAGAAGAAGAGACAAACACGTCTAGTAAAATTGTGCTTATCGGAAAGAACCTTCAAAAGGATCGACTTTCCCGTTCCCTAGACAACGTTTTAAAAATTGAACATAACGTCCTTTAAGCTATTGGCTGAGTTTCCTTTTTATATATTTAAAAAAGTAAACTTTGTTTGCCCCCCTTCTTTTTTTTCTCTCTTCTTTTTCTCTTTCTCTCTTTTTTCTTTTCAGGAACAAGAATATAAAAGATGAATACAGAGTTTGACGATGTACGTCATGAAAAAATGAATAATGCAACAAACAAATATGAATAAAAAACCTATTATTTCATTCTAGGTGTTGACCAATCAACCTGTAGTCATTGATAATGTAAACTATTCACGTAATAATAGAATTACAAGAGTAAAAAGATGACTCATCTGTCTTGTTCAGGGCTCTGGCGTAATCAAAGCAGGTTTTGCAGGAGAAGAACAACCTAAATGCTTTTTCCCTTCCATGTAAGAAGGTGTCATCATGTTCTTATTCCTACTAATGTCACTTTTAGTGTTGGACGACCGAAACATGAACGCATTATGGCAGGTGCAGTCGAGGGAGATAACTTTATTGGTAGAAAGGCTCAAGAATTACGTGGCTTACTAAAGATTAGATACCCTATCGAGCACGGTATTGTCACAGATTGGGAAGACATGGAACGAATCTGGCAATATATTTACACAGATGAACTCAAGACACTTTCTGAAGAGGTAAAAGCATAACATGTTAAAGAACAGTGACCTAATACAAAACAGCATCCTGTCTTGTTGACTGAAGCGCCCTTGAACCCTCGATCAAATCGGGATACTGCAGCTCAAATCTTTTTTGAGACTTTCAATGTTCCTGCCTTGTTTACTTCGATTCAGGCTGTACTTAGTTTGTAAGTTATGATGTTATTATTTAATATTTGCCAACCGCAAAAATATCTAGGTATTCTTCTGGTAGAACAACAGGCATCGTGCTTGACTCAGGAGATGGCGTGACACATGCAGTACCTGTTTATGAAGGATTTGCTATTCCTCATGCTATCCGTAGAGTAGATATTGCAGGAAGAGATGTTACTGAATATTTGCAACTTTTATTAAGAAAGTCTGGTTATAACTTCCATACGACAGCAGAAAAAGAAGTTGTGCGTATTATCAAAGAAAAGACGTGTTATATTGCATTAAATCCTGTTAAAGAAGAAAAGGAAATAAGCGGTAATATAAATGATTTTATATTGCCTGATGGCAATATTATCAAGGTAAAAGGAATACATTCATGTTTTATATGTTTTTTAAACTCTCTCTTTATAGCTTGGTGCAGAAAGATTCAAAGCACCCGAGATCTTGTTCCAACCAGAGTTAATTGGAGAAGAATATCCTGGCGTCCATCAGATTATTGTTGATTGTATTGGTCGTGCTGACCTTGACTTGAGAAAGTCTCTTTACTCTAATGTTGTTCTCTCTGGCGGATCTACCTTGTGTAGGGGATTTGGTGAACGTCTCTTGTCCGAAATAAAGCGACTTGCATTAAAAGACATAAAGATCAAGATTTATGCTCCCCCTGAAAGAAAATACAGTACATGGATCGGTGGCTCTATTTTGGCTTCTCTCAATACATTCAAGAAGATGTGGGTATCAGCTGAAGAATATCAAGAAGATCCAGATATCATTCATAAAAAGACATTTTAATTTATCTTTTCTTTTGTATACCATTAATTATATTCAACAACAATTACAAGTGATCTTCTTTTTATCAATATATCTTTTCATACAATAAAAAAAGAATCAAGATGACTTTTTACTCGTGTAATGATTTATATGAATAGCCTTTGAATCAAAAGCATAAGATCAGTTAGTCTTACCCAAGATGTACAGTGTTTTGCGTTTGAAAATGGAATTTTTGAGAAATTAAGACAGAATTGTTGGCCACATCAATATAAATTTTCGAGTTCAGTAGAAATCTTTGGTAAGCAGTAGAAATTGTTGACCACCAATATGCATACCAAGAAACCAACAGAAAAAAAAAGTTATAGCATTTAACAAAAACCAAATTTATTAATTGTAAACTTATATTCTTTCCATATTCATACACTTTGTAAATAACATTTGTGAGTGGCGGATCCAACCTTGACAGTCTTTAGTTGTAACTTTTTTAACTGCCTCTTCAATTCTGTCAGCAATGATTTCGCTCTTCAAAAGGGGCGTTTTATGTACTTTTCCCTTAATGTTTGACCAACACTCTTCAATTGGATCTAAGAAAGGCGAGTATGGTGGTAAAAACAATGCAGTATGTCCATTGTCACGAACTGCTTTCAAAGCATCTACGGTTTTGTGATTGGGGTGTTATCCATAATAATATACATATGGAGGGCTTTTGAGAGAAAAAATATATTACTTTAGACCTCTAGTGCTTTTCCTACTGTTTGCTGAACAATGATTGAGAAAATTTGGACATTCTCGTAGGTTCATTTTAGGGTAGTGTTTGAGCAAGCACCAAAATGAACAACGTTATCTAAAGAGATAAAAGATCCTCATTTCGGTTGTTGATATCATTTTCTATTTCATCCACAGAATAGTTTCATGTACTATCCACATCAAAATTGTGTAAAACAACAAGTATACTTTTACCAAAGGTTATTCCATATTCCTTGATCTTTGTTCTATAAATATAACAAAGCAAAATAGCTTAGTATACTGAAAATATCAATTTGCAAGCGTTAAACAAGAATAACTTCAAGGCAAACGTTCTCGATAGACACCTTACTTGGCGAGCAAGCAAGTCAACTCTTTTTTTCATTTAGTTGCGTCGAAGCTAAGGATATCTTCCAAGCCTACGGAGAACGTTCACAGCTAACACTACTCCCATGCCTTACAAAGCCCTACAGCATGGTACTTAGATATCGCAGAGGTGTATTACTCATGCGTAGCTGTGTTTGTTCATGAAGAAAAGATGGCTTACAAAAATAAATAAATGTGAATATGTTAATAATTAATCAATTATAGTTCTATAGTAATTGTAGCTTCTTTTAAATACATTAGATGCTTATGAAAGCGTTTATAAGTATATTTACCTCTGTTGTAAACAAGTTTAACGATTTGAGAATGCTATTAATTGGTGATGCTTCCATGAGAAGAAAGAACTGCTAAAAAGCATCTATATTTAAAACATTCTCCTAACTGAAAATTTCAGTCAATTGAATGCCCAAAATGCCGAGATTCTCTAACAAGGCCAACCATTTTAAGCATTGTTGAATAACTTGTAAATTTTTGTTACATTAAGCTGACGATTATAATATAAATCTTTATATGAACGAAAGATCTTTAGTTAGTTTCAATATGACAGGATTGATGATACTTCTAAGATGGGTAATCATTTCGGGATTGTATTTGTATATAGGGCTGATTTCTTGATACTCATTCTTAACCTCAACAATGTTGTTTACTGCTTGCTCTAGTAAGCACTATTTACAATGCCATTTATTATTTTTAATTCATTCAAATAAGCTTATTACCTTTGTATTCCAACAAAACTTAATTAGTTGTGATAGGATTACCATCCTGTCTTCAAAGTGTGGTTGGATTTGTAAGCACAACTCTCTCCAGAGATTAAAGAACCCATCAGGTTGATAGTGCAAACTCCATAAGTGCAACTTGGCTTCTGTTCACAATGCCCAAACAGTATTAGAAATGATTACATATTTGACAAAAATAATATATTACCGGCAACATGCAAGAAAAACACTTTTACCCGACTGAACTTTTCAACAGAAGCAAACGAATATTTATCAGCAATACATTTAAGTATCGCAAGGATACCATATATTCCTTTGTGGTGGTCTAGATTATTTGACCTCTCTAACCAGGAGAAGTCATGATCGAACCTATCCAACGATGCATTAGAATGGCACTAATATAATGGTCAGGAAGTGGCATTAAATTGACACTATTATTAGGGCCTCTATCAGGATATTAGTGCCAGTGGCAAAAGGTTGACAAATCAAATATGCGAAGACGTCTCAGGTTTCAAAATCAGCAGACAATAGAATGTCTCAATCAAATTAGGAATAATGAAACAATAACACTTACCGAGCAGGCTCGTGTTACTTTTATACTTCACAGGTGTCAATTCATAGCAGCTCAGGTCATTAGTTTTGTAAACTACTTAGGCCCACAGTTATCGATTTATTATCAACAACAGTACTAGACATATTAAAAGTTGAGACAAATATTGATCAATTTAATTCGATAATTAGGGCAACCCAAATCGATCCATTCCAGATGTCTGCTTATACTAATGGGTTTAGCAGTGCACTCGATAGCACACCTCCATCAATACAGAAATTGGGTGAAAAAACTGTATAGTGTCAGATTTCACCAAAACTTCAATCTAGTCACAAATGAAGATGCTGGTTTTATGGAAATAACTACTAGATTTTCCCTATATCTCACCTGTTTGCTTCTTACGGGCTTTCTCTCTATCTGAAGTTTGTTGTCTGAAATAATCATCAGTGTGTGAATAAAGCGCACCATTAAAAACCTTCTTTCCCCTTTATTTCAAAGTCACATTTATTTTTTTTGTACAGTTATTTTTTTTTTTCTTTTATAAACGCGTTTATAAAGATGAAAGTGCAGGGACGCTTAGAATTTCGAACAAGAGTAATAATAATAATATGACAGTAGACTATTATATATATATACTCATATATACAATAGCGAAATGTAACTAGACAAGCTGAAGTCATTTCTAATAAAAATAATGCTCTAATGGAAGGTAAAGCATTTAGAGCAGCTGACGATGTAAGTTCAAAAGATGTTTTATAAGACAACTATCTTACTTTTTTCATAGATTATCTTGAAACCAACTGTAAGAATATAAATATATATATGCACAAAAGATAGCATATTGACATGTCTATAGGTTTCCCTAACACGAAAGAGTGCACGCATTGCCAGTAAAACATTAAAACAAATAGAATTACCATTTAAGAAAGACGAACAATTGGAAGATAAGAAACGTAAAAATGACATGGAAGAGACCAATTCAAATAAGAAACAAAAAACAGAGGTCAATATTCCCAAAGAGATTACAACAGATGAACTACAAAAAGAGGCAAAAGAAACAGTGAATGAGCAAATTCGAGAAGAAGAAAAGACCGTTGTACAAGTTCAGAAAGAAGAAAGAGTTGTAGAAGAAATATGTATGAAATCATCAAACAAAGAAACAACGACTGCCATGTTTGATAAAGGTGACAACATCGTAGAAGGATCACATGATACAGACAACCTTAAAGATATCAGTACAAGAAATAACAATGAAATGATACCTCCTATAGAACAATCATCCAAGACTCAAGATGATAATAAGTATCACACTTCACCAGCCGCACCTTTCAAGACATATGTGTCTTTAGCTGATAAACAAAGAATTGAAGATGAAAAGCTGATTATTACCAGCGTCCGTAAAGCACTCGATATCGTCATCACTGATCGTGTTGCTCGTAACCAACCTACTCTATACCATCAAACAGAAGCCATACTAAGAAACATGACGGGAAGAAATGTAAAGATGTCACATATTTGTAAAATCATGTATCTTGCTCCTCGATTATATTCAGTAGAGGCCAAGGAATTAAGAACATATGGAGGCAAAATTAATGAAGACTTCTTAATCGAATTTGGCAAAGAATGGAGAGTGCCTTTGATTGGAAAAGATTTGCAATTACGAGCAGACATGTTGCGTGAGGCTGTTGATAGATACTTTAATGAACATCCAGAACACGATGCTACTGTTCCTGAAGCTCCACTGCCAAGATTACGAGCTGTAGTAAATAAGGATGAATGGGAAAAGCAAGCCAATCTACCACAGGGTGTAAGTAATATTTAATGCCAACATACTCTATACCAACATGTGTATGTAGATCAAAAAGCTGTTGGAGGCACATAAAGCTGTCAAACAAGAACGAATAGAACAACAAAAGCCAAAGCCAACACCTCAGGGCTCAGTCAAGGAGAGATTTGAAGCTCTTCGTGCTAGAGTAAGTGTAGATGACAATGTTTACTCATAAGCTAACAATATACACTAGTTGGCTTCCAAAAAGAAATAAAATGACAAGCCTTTTCCCATTGTAATGTGTGCATATCATGAAATAAAAAAAAATCTTTTTTATAAACAACATAATCTAACAAAATGGAATGGACTTTATTTACTTGAGATGCTTAAATATATCCTCTGTTCCTTCATCGGATGAGGTGAGAGATGATGCCTCTAATAGCTTGGCAACATGTTTTGGTGCTTGAGGTACATCAATGAGTAAATCTTCGTAGCCTTCCATGAATTTCTTAAAGGCACTGATGTATATTTGCTTGTCTAGTAGTTTTTCAGATAGTAGATAAGCCATGATGTCAGCCATTGTATCCACATCCTCTGATTTTCTCTCTACGACTGTCAGCATCTGTTCTGCAAATATCTCAAGATAATGTACATCATCAAGTTCTTTCACACATTCAGCAAGTTCCTATATATTTAAATAACGAATGAGTTTATGTAAAAAGAATTTCTATTTCTTCCTTCTTACCTTTTTATCTCTGATACCAAAGTATTCGTCAATAATATTTTTCGATTTACGTTTAACAACTTCATCGGATAGCTTGTTACTTGAAGTAGTAACTGTAGCAGCCGTAGTGATAGCAGCATTATTGCTATCGGTGGAGTTGCTCTCATCAGCTGGTGTGCTTCTTGGAAGTAACTGCAGCTTCTTGCGTTCTTCAGGCTTGTCTCCATTGGATAGCGCACTAAACATATTCATGGCTGGACTTGCTCTACCGTCATTGGGTCCCTTGCTATCACTGCCTGTCTTGTTTCTTGTTAAGCTTGGGAATGGACTGTTGGAGGGGCCAAGGAGATTGTTCTTTGAACGACTGCGGTCTGTCTTACCAAAGTTGGACAGTTCATTCGCACGTGATTTATCACTTACAGGTGATGATGACCCAGATCCAACCGTATTCCAACCATCGTTGCTTGGGCTGCCAGCATTATTGCTGGTGTTGCTGCCATGATAGTCTCTTCCGCCACGGAATGAGCCTGTTCGCTGCATGTTGTTGCTGTTGCTGTTATATTGATTGGGTATAAAAGGTCCACGGCTGCTGTTGCCTCTCTTGACAGTGTTTGTCTCCTTGTGCTCCTTGTCCTTCTCGGCCATCTCATGGATCTTGGCGAGTGTTGTAGGACCGACTTGGTTGCTTGCATTTCTAGGAACCCAGTTTTGCTTACGCAAGTCGAATACGTCCTATAACAAGCATTAGTCATAGAGCTCCTTTTTTTTTGTTTTCTATATTTACCTGAATCATGAATTTCACACGAGATGATATCTTGGGGCTGTTCATCATTTCATTCTTCATTCTTGCCGTAACGATATCAACCCACTTGGACGTCTTTGGCTTACTGTCAAGGGTCTTACCTATGGTCGTAAGCAGCTTACAAAGTGACTCTGCCTCTTCATCGCCTGCATTCTGAGGATCGTTACATAATTTGATCAAGCAGCCATACATGATACGTTCGGACAGCATTTCCAACTTGAACAACTCACCAATGAATTGAATAAGACCGAGACCTTGGCGTTTGGCTTTAGCGGCGGCATAATACTCATCAGTCAACATGGCACTCTCGTCAGCTTCAGGCATATTGACCTTCCATCCCTTTTCAAATTCCACTTGACATCGACTGAACAAGTACTTTCTGAATAAAAGCACACCACACGATGGGTTGCCTTGATCATCTAAGAGACTGGTATCGCGAATATCGTTTGTCATGCTGCTAGACATCCTGTGGCAAAGACGAGCCCACATGCTGGCAAAAGCAGGTTCGTCACAGGCCTTTTCAAATGTAAGCTTGATAACTGTACGGAGGGCCATACCGTCTTCTTCCTTTTCGGACTGCTTAGCGTAGCTGAAGATTTGTTCAGAGATTGAATCGAATTTTTCAATTGTCAATTTGTTCAATAAGGCCTTCACTTTACGAGTAATAACCTCTTCAGACAAGAGGTCAGAATCAGTAGAGGCCGCTTTATCATTTGCTTGCTGAACGGCAACAGTAGGCACCCATCGGTTCTCTGTCTTTGTAAGTGGAGCAACAGGTTCTAGTGCAGGAGAAGCTTGCTGGGAGGGGTTGCGGATGATCTTCATACCGTTAGGTGTAGATCTTCCCATACCTCTACCACCCATGCCTCCGCCACGTCCACTTGGTTGTCGCTCCATAAACATACCACTGCTGTTGCTACGAGGGTTCAACGGACGACCCGTGTTAAACTTGCCCATTTCCATTCGTCCATCACGAGAGCCCATTCTAAAGGTGGATGGGTCGCCACTGTGTGTTCGATGGCTACTGCTTCTTTCACGGTTGAGATTGGAGCCAGTTGAAGGGCCGGAGGTTTTATATTTCTTGGAATTATCGATTGCCTCGTTAACAACAGACAAGTCGGCAGTCGTGTCTTTACAGAGAGTACTAAATAGCTTCAAGAATTCCACACTATAGATATATTTCCCGTCGACCTTGGATGGTGCTTGGACATTAGGTGGGTACTTGATCGTACTAGGATCCTCAATAAGCTGGATAGGTCTATCGTTTGTCAACGGTGTAGGAGTAGCGCTGACAGGTGATTGAGTCAAGGATGACTTATGATCTGAAGCCAAGGATGTATCGATCACAGTTGCCGATCGAGCACGTTCTTCTTCATCCTTTTTCTTTTTAGCCTCCAACTCACTCTTAATACGTCTCAGCTCTTGTTCCTCTTCAGCCTTTCGTTGAGCCTCTTCCTCTTCCTGTTTCTTCTTTCTCTCAGCTTCCAATGCGGCGAGTCTCTCCTTTTCGATACGTTCGGCCTCTTCTCTCTCCTTGCGCTCCTGTTCTTCCCGTTCCAGTCGTTCCTTCTCTTCGCGCTCTCTTTCCAGACGCTCCTTCTCCTCACGCTCGAGACGTTCCTTTTCTTCAGCAGCCCTTCTTTCCTGTTCCAAGCGCTCTTCTTCAGCCTTGCGCTTAGCCTCAAGCTCAGCCTCCTCACGCTCACGCTTTTCACGAAGCTCACGATCACGAATGGCAGGATCAACAATTTCCACGCGTTTGGACACATTAGGCTGTGGGATCTGAAAATCGAATTTTTCAGTCTTTGTTGCAACAGGAACGGCTGTTGTTGTGGATAAGGCCATGGGCGTAGTGTCAATTGCAGTGCCCGTATTAGGATTCACGATGGGAATCACTTTCTTTGCGGGCGGTGGAACATAGGATCTATTAGGTGCCATATTGCTGTAAGCAGCGACAGGTACAGGATACTGAGGGTAAAACTAGAGAGAATTTCAGGGTTAGTCAAAAAAAAATCCCCGACTAGGGTTATAACTTACAGGCATATATTGAGGTGACCAGGTGGTGGTGGTTGTCGCAGGAATATTTTGGGATGACTGAGCCATATTGGGAGAAGCATTTTTCTTGGTATAATTCACATTTGAAGGAGAAGCATGTACAGGGGATACTTGATGCTGTTGAGGTGATTGCTGTTGTTGTTGTTGTAATTGAGGAGATTGCTGAATCTTGGGTGATCTATGGTGAGATGAAGATGGTGCGATTGAAGGCTGAAGGTGAGGAGAAGTAGAAGAAGGTTGAGTGGATGATTGTTGTGATGGCTGTTGTTGTTGCTGTTGCTGTGGATACTGTTGATATGATACAATGTTATTACTGCTGTTTGTGTTATTAGTAGAAGTAGTACTGCTATTATGATTATTGCTAGTATTATTATTGCTGCTATTATTGTTGTGATTGTTATTATTATTATAGTAGCTGTTTTGCTGAGATCCTGTGGATTTATTGTAACCATTCTTATAATTTCCGTTGTGTCTATTATTATTATAATAACGATTATTATTGTTGTTATTATTATTCGAAAAATCTCCTTGGTTAAAATCTCTACGAGGCGCGTAAGGTTGGGTAAATAATCTAGCATCATTGGTAGTACGAGTTGATCTGGGTATCTCTGTCTTTGGCTGCTGTTGCTGTTGGGATCTGAATTGCGAACGATTCTTTTTGATAAAGGATGAATAAAAATATAATAAAGAAATATAATTTACTTACCAAGGTAGCATCTGTAGCAGGCAAACTGCCAAATTGAACTTCTTTTAAAACTGGGATATCTCCGGTTTTATTATTAGATCCGTTTGCTGTACTCGCCGGAGTATAAGCTTGATTGATAGATCCAAACTGGATATTGGCTATAAAGAAGTTAGGATCGTTAGGATAGAACAAGAACAAAATCTTACTTGTTTCAGTAGGTGGAGCCATTGGTAGCTGTACACTAGGTTTTTTATAGTTGTTATATGTGCTGTCTTTTGATTTATACCTAAAAGACAAGAAAAAGAAAAAAAGAAAAAAGAAAGTGATGAGTAAGAGAAAAGGGACAAGAGAGATGACAAAAAAGAAAGAGAAACTTACATGTTGGAAGAATAAGTTCTCTTGAAGGAACCATGACCATGGGTCAAAGAAGAGGAATAAGCAGATGAATTCTTGAATTCCGTTTGTTGATCACTGCTTGGTGCACCTTCTACTCTTTGCTGCTGTTGCTGCGGTTGTGAAGGATTTCTAGGATAGTTAGGCCGAGCTGCTTGAGCATAGTTAAATTTGTTCGGTCTAACGTTTTCACTATTATGTATAGCTTTGTTCATAATATTCCGAAGTAAATTGGATAAAGAAGAAAAGAAGAAAAAAAAATTATCCTCACGCACACACACACACTCTCACTCACTCGGGACAAAATCATTCAATCAATGACGATTCACTCTCAAACATTGCATTATAACTCAGCTTTGCACAAAGGCTTGTTTTCCTTTTTCTTTTCGATTTAATCTCCGTTAGCTAGTTTTGATTGGACAATGACCATGTAAACAGACACCTGAGCGTATTTAAGCCATTGATGTGTATTCAGCTTTAGTTGTTATTGTAAAAAGCCATCAAGTCGACAACTTGCGAATTAGATTTATTAAGAAGAGCTGAATATTATAAAGTCTGTGTGAGAGTTTACTTGGGTAGAGAATCTTTGACTGCTGTTTATATTAATGTCGTCATTGACATTATTTATGCTTTTATTATTATTGTTATACTAGTAGCCACTATAGTTATTATTATAAGTTATTCTTATCAGATGCGATAGAGGAATGTAAAGTAGAATGTATGTTCTACTTTAAGATTATACTCGAGTTATTATAATGATTTATATCAAACACGTCAATTGACAGATGAATGAGTCTGATAAATGCATTTATTTAGATCATTTGACGATAGCTTTATTTTATGCAATTATATGATACAATTATGCTAATATTGGTTATGAGAAAGAGTATATTGCATGTCACTGTAGTTTCTTCATATATCAACTAAGGATCTATTATAATCTGTCTCATATCACACTGCAGAATCCCTTAATTATATGCATAATATACATTAAATGATCTGCAGCTAATAAAAAGACATTCTCTCTTCATTTTCTTTTATATGCAAAACTATACAATGAAGCAAAATATGTGCATGTATATACTAACGAAATAATAAGTACACGTTATTAAGAAAAAGAAGTACTGCTCTTTGTCTACAGTAGACTCTTTTCACAATGGTTTGATTCCGTGTGGAGACGAACTTGATATCTATGAGAGTATCATGCATATGTATGAATTGCCCAATTAAAAGATATTATTTACTGCCTTTAATGGCATAAGAAGACGTATGATGATTTTACTACGCCCCAGGAGACAAAGTCATTTGCCCAAAAATAGACATGAGAGGGAAGATAACCTTAATTCAAATGATAAAATATGGTTGCGCTGCATCCAAAAAGATTATTAAGATGGTTGATGCCTTCTTATTCTTTTACGCCCATTCCCTGGCTTTTTGTTCTATAGACTCGGTCCAACGTTTCAATCTTTCCAAAGTAAGCCTATTCCAAGGCAGAAATGCTGCAAGACGGTTACCTATCAATTGGATGTAAATACCTTAAAATAAAGCAACGTGTGAGAGATTTATACTTTAAAACTAGGCTCAAGTAGAATAAGGGCTTATTGTCGGTATTTAAATTTTCCATTGTATGTCATCAGTTTCCATCCTTTATCATGAGTTAACAGTAACAGGACCAGAAAATAGTACAAGAGAAAATAAAAGAAAAGGACGTAAACAATGACTTTTTAAGTAATTCAATCAGATAGGAAAATTCTTATATTATCCTTAACAGCTTACGCGTTGACCTAAACTTTCCCTTTCCACCCCATTTTGCACCCAGCCGTGCGCTTTTATTTTTTTCCAATAAAAATTATATTCGTCTTTCTTCCTTTTCTTCAAAGGCACTCCCATATTTTGCACGCGCGCAGTATACAGAAAAACCGATCCTTTACAAGCCAATTTTTTATATAATGGATCCCAAGCTATTTGCAGCGGCTGCACAGCAAGGCATGTTCAATAACCAACAAAACCCTCAAAATCCCAACTTGATAATGCCCTTTCAACAACAAACACAGCAAGATTTACAACAATTTAGTCAACTGAATAATCCAGGAATGGCATTCAATCCTGCTGTCTTTGGTGGCGCTTTATCGCTTGGTCAAAACGACTTGATGAATTTTGACCAAACAGACCTTGGCAGTTTGAGTAACTTTAACCCAAACTTGTTGAATCTGGCTGCATCTTTACAGCAACAACCACAATTACGTCAAACCATTCAACCACAAGCAGTGTATACACCTCAGAACATGCTTGGATTTCAACAAGGAAACAATCAAGGTATATACATGTATAATTCATAGAGTATTCTTTTCCAACTCTTTGTCTCTTCCCCTTTCCTAGGTACTCCACTTCAGTTTCAAAATAGAGGACTATACCAAAATAATGGCAATGTAATGGCCAATACTCCTCAAGCAATCTTGCTTCAACAGCAGCAGCAACAACAACAACAACAGCAGCAGCAGCAAGAACAAGCAGCATTAGCTTTGAACAGAGGTTAGTTTCAGAGAAAAAAAAAAAAAAATAGAAGATGCTTATATTTTCTAAAGCCAAGCAATCACCAAGTCAATCTCCAGCATTAAACAGTACGCATTTTCCAGGAACGAATACTGGATCTCCCGTAATAAACAACAATTCCCAAATGGCTGGAGCAAGATTAGGATCTGAATATACAGGTATGTCTGCAAAATTAGAGTAAAATAAGGGGAAATGGTAATCTGTTACAAACCCAGGTTCACCAATGGGACCCATGATTGGATCGCCAAGACAAAATTTCCAACAGGGTAATGGCATCTCACCATCGCCGCAAATGGCGCGTGTCATTCCTTCCCAGGCAGCAAACAGATATATGCAACAACTGAACGCTCAGCAGCAACAGGCAATGTTACAGCAAGGCATGTCACCAGCTATGAGTAATTCCCCCATGTCCTTTACACCTGCACAGGTAACTAAAAGAGTATAGTTGAGGAAGTGCTGTTATTGACTATATAAAAAAGGAAATGGATAACCAAGCACCCAAAGCTTACAATGCTATACCAAGCTATATGCAACAAATACCAATGCAAACTCATGCTTCGCCTGTACCTCGACATGCACCCACGCCCGGAAGCACTCGATCAACACCTCGACAGCAGCATCAGCAACTTGAAGGGACAAGCACTCCACAAATGAGTCCTGCCAGACAGACTTCTATGAGGCAATCTTCGGTAGATACACCTATTGGTACAACTGCAACGCCCTCTCCAAAGGCTTCTCCTAGTCACTCTGATTCAGCATCCATTGGACAAAGCATAATAGCTGAAAAAGAAGCCTCGCAGCCACCTCAACATAATCAACAGTTACAGGAGCAACAGACACGGCAGCAAATACCTAATCAACAACCTTCCACTCCACAGCAAGCACAGACTAGCACCGCTTCCCAAGGATCTCCAGTACAGGCAACATATATACCAAAGACGCGCAACGTTGAAACGTATGGTGGTATCGATCTAAAGTACTTTGATAAATTTGAAATTAAACCACCTGTGCCACATCTTGGAGAACTTGGTGTTATTGATATCCAGGCATTGACTTTATCCCTTAAATCTGGGATGAAAATGGAAGTGACAAATGCTCTGAACATACTAACCGTGTTGACCGTTCAACCAAACATACAACAGCAGCAGGCTCCTAATCTTCCACTCGCACAGTGTGATGATCTTTTGGACACTCTATTGGATTACTTGGAGCAAGATATCTTGGGTACATACAAACGCTTTCAGTTAGATGATGACGATGGCCCCAATGAAACTGTGGACGAAACAAAGAAAGGACAGATATTGAACGAACTTACATACGCTGATCTGTTTGATATGTCCTTGGATGAAATGAAGAGTTTGATTCCTCAGTTAGAAGACAGTACTTCGGACGTATGGATATCCTTACGGGAAAGATGTTTATGTATCTTCAACATCTTGAGAAATCTATCGTTTATGAATGATAATATTGAGTACTTGGCAAGGCATCGTCGATTTTCCGAATTGATGATTGATATCATCGAGAAGACAACACAAATCAAATCAATAGACGGGCGGGACACATTGGGAAAGGAAGCATGGTTCTCTGGTGTTCGCCGAATGGACACGCTGGATTTTCGCAAAAGTATACTCATCATCTTTTCAAACATTGCTACGTTTGTTAGTCTTAGTGAAACAAGGCTAGCTGCTACTTTTGTTCGACTGATTCATGATTTCTTGATCCACGGTCCTGATACATATTATGCTCTCTTATCAATTGAGACATGGTCTAAATTCTCTGTAAACTATAGCAACCGCCAGCTGTTGCATACTCTTTATACTTCAAATTCCGAAATAGCTCGATTAATAGAAGATATCTGGTTGGAGTTAACCTCTGTGATCCTTCGAGAATACTTTTCATCAGATGGAAGAGTGATGCATGCAATGACATCAAATCAGCTTGCTTCATTGGAACTGGCCGTGATTGCACTATACAACATTTTGATTATCGTGGAAAACAACACTCTAAAACAGGAGCTTGCACTACGTAATAAGAATTTGGGAATGATGCTATTCAGATTATGCATGACTTTAGCAGAGTCAGGAAACCCACAATTTGGACTTGTTACAAAACGAGGCATGGAGATATTACGTTCTATAATATGTGGTGGTGATGGTTCACGAAAACGACCATTAAGTCAGCAACAACAGCAACAGCAACAGCAACAGCAACAGACGCAGCCGATGCAGCTGATGCAACCAAATCCATCTTTAGATATATTATCACCGTATAAGCCTGAAGCAAACAAGAAAGAAGAATCTCAGCACTCTCTATCAGAAATTGCCAGCCGTATACTAGATATGCCTGCTGTTCGTGAAAGGCTAATGATCTCAATGCTAAAACCAACGACTGATCCAGAAATTCTTCGAGACCTGTCTGAAATTGTTACAATGATAGACGATGAAAACACTGTATAAAATCCTCATTTTTTACCCCCTTTTTATAATTACACATCCATTTCAATTCTATAACATTCTCTTGTCATTACATTTGCTTCCTTTATTCCTTTTTTATGTAATCCTTTTTTTAATAACGGGCTATTTAACACTTCTTTTTGGTATATTAAAGGCACTGCAGACGGAAGAGTTTAGCGGAATTTACAGATTTATTCATGGTGACTTTATTATGTGTGTGTTTGTGCCATTTTTTTCTTTTTGGTGAAGCATGTCAATAACTGAAGATGATCCCAATGTTTATTTTATGGAAATGAACGTTCCTGAAGTTCGTGCTTTGGAACAAAAGATGCGGTAATTGAGATACTGATGGAGTATTTATAAATACTGATAGTCAATATACAGAATCGAAATAGAGACAAGAAAGAAGGAACTTCGGTCAATGGTTGGGTACATATAGTAAACAACAGTTTCACAATAAAGTAATAACAGCAGTACATAGTGAGCAATATCTCGAGCTCATGTCTGCAGCCGATGCTATTATTACAATGAGACAACATACACAGACAATTCAGACCAACATCTGTCGTTTGCAGGCAGCTTGTAATGTAGATGAAATAAAAAGCAATATTTCAACCAAAAAAAGTATGCAAATATATGCTTATCAGCATTCATCAGTGAGCTAACATGTCATAAACAGCACGAGTTGACAACGAACGTCAGCACATCTATTTGATAGCCTCGCTTATAAAATGTTTAGCTGATGTACCAGAACAGGTATGATTATCATGTAAAAAACCACTGCAACAAGCTATTTATTTCTATAGATATGGCACGCGCTTGAAAATCATCGATACCTTCACGCCAGTCGCTTATTCGCCTTGGCAAAAGTGGTTCATGAATATCTTGAAGAAGAAAAAAAGACAACATCAGATATTGAGGCCAAGTTCCCAATCATACAGAGCCAATGGGACGCTGTCAGTGCCTTTGAATCACAAATCTTTCAAAGATCTCTTCAACACCTTCAATCATCAGAGCAGACGCCAGAGGTAGTTGATATGTTGTCTGATTGATATTTTTTTTTCTTAATCAAAAGTATAGCATTTAGCCGAGACTTTGATAGGATTAATGCTTTTGAATGAATCTTCCTACAAGGATATCCTGGAACACCTCTTGAAAATGCGAATGAACGCCATTCATGATTTACTCCAGCATAGATCCAAGAAATCAGATAACCTAAGCAATCTTATTGCGCGTCAATTGAAGAATATCATTGTCATTTTCAAGCAAACACTTATTCAAGTTGATTCTTTATTCCTTTCAAAGCATGAGACAAATATGACCCTTATAGAAACTTATGTATCATATCTTAAAAAGACCTTTTTAATACCATCAGCTAGTAGTCATGGAAACGGCACGCCTTCACAACCGCCTGTCACGCGCTTACTTTCACCCAGTTCAAATGTACATCTCATTGTACGCTATCTACCAGAGACTATACAGAACTATCGACCTGATTTTGACGCTGGTAACCCACTTGCAGCATCAGATATTCAGCAATTGACTACAGAATGGATCAATAATGTTGAAGTGTTGCTAAAAGAATGTCTACCGGAAGTATTAATGACATTAAGCACCGAGAAGGCTTTGACTGATACACGATTACGACTTTGGATTTCGCTGCAAGATGACGAAAATGCAAAAAATCAAGTTCAGGACTGGGAGATAGTCTCCCATGATCTACTGCTAAATGACTACTCTATTTGGAAATCATCATTAAGAGACATCTTTATCAATCGGGCAAACGCTATTATCGACAAGCAGTTAAGCATACTTTCTAATCAACCAGAATTGGATGTTTGGCACACCATCGTGCCCGATAATAGTAAAGAGAAAGCCGCAAATACTATCTCTGTTTCAATAGGCATATGGCCAGGTGTTCAAAATAAGCCCTCGCAGCTATTTTCACTTCCAAGTATTTCATCGCAAAAAGAGCTGCAGGAATTCAGATTATCGCTGACAGAAACAGTCAATGATAGAACTGATGTTCTAAGAAAACTGCAGCATCTTTTTGATACACTACTTTCGGATCTGCGAAAGGATGTACTAACTCAAGTTGAGCTACGTGAAAACGATGGATTCTATTGTCAAGAGTAACTAAACTTCATGCAATATTCGCTCTAATCACTAACGACTTGCACTCATTAGGGATAGTGATAGCCTTAAATCATACTTTCAAAACAAATGTTATGAATCCGTGATTAACTATTCATCTGGTCTAAAAGCACTTTTGAAACGTATAGAACAATGGTCAGATAAGAAAGCAGGTACTAAAGTCAGAAATCCACGTGTGTGTGAACAATAATACTGATAGGTCTCCCCCCCCCCTTAAAAGCAAGTAATATAGCAATAGTTATTGGTAGGCTTGCTCGAAATATTGCCTTATCTTCAAAGGAATTACCAAAAGCATTGGCACTTTCTGCTGAGACATTACCTATATTTGTTTTACGGAATGGTGTTAGTAAAGGCAAGTGTTTTTACAATAATAATACGCAGTTATGCATATTTACCATTTAAAAAATATAGATGAAAAGTATGCTAAAGTGCAGGATGAACTATTGGATACCTTTCACATAGCTCATGAACCTTGGTTATCATTGGTAGAATCAAAGTTTACCAAAAGTCTAGAAGAAATTTTGCAAGGAACAAAATGGAAGGATGAATGCGTTTCATTATGGGAAAGTAAGTCATTCATCTTTAAAAAGCTAAAACGTTAAAAAGCTAAAAATATCCTATCAGTTGTAGACGTAGAAGAAGATACTAAACTTCCAACTCAGGCAACAGGAGCCATAACACGGCTTATGTTTTCTATCTGTGAAGATGTACAGCGCATCAATAGTTCTATGCTTGATCAGACGATTATGAAAAAATTAAGACAAACATTGTACAAGAAAGCAAGCGCAGTGTTTGAAGCTATTTTAAGCAACAAAGAGTTTGATATAACAGAACATGGCTCGTTACAAATGATATTTGATTTCCTTTTTATAAAATCAATTTTACAGCAAGATGAAGATAAGAATTCTTTATCCAAAAGCGATAAAACACTAGACATGCTACAAGACAAGGTAAGAAGCGCATGAGCATTTTACGGCCAATTCCCATTAAGCTTTAATAACAAACTAGGTGGATCCTATCAATTGGGAAAGCTATAAGCCACACATAGAATCTTGCGTTGATGGATTCTGCATCAAACAGTCTTTGTTATTCGGCGTATTGACCAATGCCGGAAGTGCCACATATGAAAGGTAAAATAAAAAAAATAAACGAATGTGTCATGACAAACTGATGACATTTTATTAGAGCTCGCAAAATTGTAACAGAAAAACAAAAAGTTCAATCGAACATTTTGATAATGCCTAAAGGAAAAGCTTTTATAAAAAGTCTACTAAACTAAGCAAAATATATATATCATACACATGCTTCGCGCGCAATCCTAGTTTAAATCATAATATTCATCTGTATCTTTATAAAAGCCGACGCCTTTCTACTTTTTAACGCGTTTAACAACAACAATTCTTCTTTCTTTCCTAATGCAGTTCCAGTATTTGCTGCCTTTGTTTGTTACACTTGTTCTAGTTCACAAAATTACTGCTGACGAAATTCCATCTTATCCAACACTTCATCAATGTAAGTAAAATATATGGCTACGACTTAAACATCCGATTCTCATCATCCTATAAAAAGTATGTGGCCAGAATATAGTGTGTGGAAAAGATTTGTACTGCAGAAGATATAATGGGGCTACATATGGCACTTGCGAATATCCTCATTAGGGCCCCCAATGTCACCGAGTGCAGCAGCGTTTTCATTTTAATAAAACATAAATAAATGTTGGAGCATCTGATGCTAAATACATTTCTATGTTGTGTTTTTATTAAGTGCGGAGACTTGTATACAAATGAGTAATACGTAAAATGCATTGTTAATGTGTCTATGTTATATAAATGTTTGTGTATTCATTAAATTAATAAAATTCTATTCAAGTTTAGAAAAGATAACTGGCAATAGCAGCAGCCATCAAGAAAGCACCAGCACCAACAGATTTGGAAGAAGCAGAGTTGACGGCGACATTGTTGCTAACATTGACAGTTGAAGAAGAAGCAGCCTCGGGAGTTTGTGCAGCAGGAGTGGCAGAGGCAGTAGAGCCAAGGGTAATAGTTGTAGAAGTACCATCCTCGGATGATGGTGTAGAGTTGGTAGTTGAGCTGTTAGAAACAGGATTAGGGTTGGCAGCAGTGGGATAGACCCAGTTAGTTTCCCAGTAAGGTTGAGAAATGTTCATGCAGTGTTGGATCGTGTTTACGTTGAAAGTTTCTTGGAGCTTAGGTAACCACTTTTCGGTCATCTTGACAGTTGCATTATTAAGTTCGTGTTCAAGGACGATATGGCCGTGAGTTTCCTTTCCGCTTTGTTGAGACTTGATCCATCCTTCAAAGTAGCCATCGACCTTTGAGGGAGATAAGTTTCCTCCACCGTCACCAGGCATGTTCCAGTCGTTGGTATCTTCATCCCAAAGGATAGTTTGCATACCCATTTGCCAGGCAATGGCACGAACACGGTCATCAACATCACCATAAGGAGGTCTCCAGCATCGGGTGGTGATACCAGTGGCTTCCTTAATGGCACGAAGGGTCCAGTAGAGTTGAGCAACTACTTGCTCATTAGTTTGAGCGGTCATTTGAGGATGAGACCAGGTATGGACACAAAGAACGTGTCCGTCGTTAAGAGCACGTCTAGCAGCTTCAGGGTAGGTGGCTACATTAGAACCAATGTACTTTCAGAGAAAAAAAATTAGTCACTGCCTTTAAAAAATCTATTTTAGGCTGTGTGGAATCACTTACGAAAAGAGTGGCCTTTTGGTTCTTGTTCTTTGCCAAAAAGTTGTAAAGTTCAGGCTCTGCGTACTTGTTGAGCTCCTTATCATCATCACTGGGGTTATAAGGTCCATCATCATAGTTAAGACCCCAATCGCCAGCATTAGGACACATGTAGATATCCTTGGGCAAGTAAGAAACCTTGGGAGTAACACAGTTGGAGTCTGACCACCAGCAGTAAGGATCCTTGCTGGCATCGTATCCGGCCATGTCAAGGTCACCATTAGACTTGGCCTTACGGACAGGAGCTTTAGGAACCTTGGACCAGTCAATGGCTTTGATAACAGCCTTGATTTCAGGATGTGTTGTGCTGGGCTCTCCCCATGGTTCAGGATAAGCGGAGAGATTTAATGTAGTACGTGATAAGCTATCAGTGATGTTGGGTGCACCAGTAGGATAGCCAGAATTGACACCACTAGGGACTGGGAAATCAGGGAGCCAGGTAGGCGATTGAACAGCCAAGATACCATCAGTGGTACTTGTAGCTGAAGAACTAGTTGTAGTAGTAACGGCTGATGCAAATGAGCCTGTAGCGAGGATGAATGCACCGATTCCAGCGAGATGCATAATTGATAAAGAGTGAAGAAATAAGAAGAAAAAAAGGGGTTCAATAAAAAAATAAAGCCTTTTTATATATCACGGTTCTTTTTTTAAACATATGCATGGTGAAAGCCCGCGTTCGAACAACCTTTTTTGATGTCCCGATTAATATAGCTTGGGAGCATTGTTGCTTACACGATGGTACGCCGACTGAATGTGGGCAGAAGGCGCAGGTGTTTATCCGAAAGCAACGATAGCAATGACATCACTTTAGTTACGGAAACAGAACATTAGCAACTAATGATAGTAAACATTAGCACTAGGATGGCGCCAGAAATGTCATCATTTATATTTATAGCCATCAATCGTATTTTGTTTAGAATTCTGCATTCAATCGCCACAATTGCAAGCATCATTTTACTGTCATAACATCGTAAACACAAAATGTTGTTATAATGTGATTATATTTTTAGAAACGCTCAAAGCAAAAAACGGTACTCTAATACTTGCTTTGCAGTTTGTTCCTTATCAGTTATAGCTTAAAACTTTATTCTTTGTCATCGTGCTATCTTTCCATACACTTTTTTTTATTATGAACTTAAATGGAAATATAACAACGTTTGTATTCCTTGGCAGTAAAATTGCCTTGATTTAGAAATAGCCCTCGGGTTCTTTTTGCCAGTGCTATTTAATACCTCTTTTTTCCAGTAGCACTTGGATGTCACAAAGCTTGGGGAGTCATAATCATCCTTCGTTACAAGTCAGCCGCGGTTTTACTTGACGAGACAATAACTGGTTCAGAAAGTTAGTTTAGTACCGGGTAAAGAACAATTGATCAACAAACCTTAAAAATAGGATAGACATGCTTTGAAAATAAGGTGACTACGACATGATGCCGAATTGCTTTGGTAACATGGGACAGTGTATTTTTCTTTGCAGAAAATTTTTAAGGCTCAGGTGTTTGTGGATGTGAAAGACACAATAAATGTACAAAATAGGCTATTTGTAATTAAACAAAGTTTTACCCGTAAGCTGAGGTGTTCTATATTTATACGGTTGTACCATCTGTATTGAAGGCAAGGCCACGCGTAATTCTATGTTCAGACATTTGTGTAACAAGGGGCCTTGAATAGATTTCTGTCAAATGTATATTATTACTATACTGACTCTTTTCTTTCCTATTTACTTTACAAGTCGAGCTTTTATTGTAAATAAAATACCAAAGATAACTTGATGCCTACAGGCACTTTTTGCCTGTAAAATCTTTAAGCCAGCGCTCCACCGGAGTGGGATGAGGCAACCACATTGGAGGTGGTGAGTTGTCTTTTGAAGACATTAGGTCGACCTTGACCATTCCAAATACAACGTGAAATAGTCAACATGTTCTTGGCTGCCATAACATCACGGTTCCAAAAAATATTACAAGTGTTGCACTTTAATACTTGATGGATTTTTTTGATGTCATCACCTTCTCCACATTTTAGATTCTGAAGGTCTTGGCTTAAGCAAGAGTTGCAGGTCTATAAAGATATTGTTTAGAACGTATAATTTATGATCACTGTTACACTAGCCTTGGAAGTCTTGAATTCATTGATATCGAGAAGTAACAACTCTCCAAGTCCCTCTCTGCGCTTTAGCTGTCTGTAAATCTTGTTGGAGACGCCACGTCGAAGTCCTTTAAACTTGATATGGCCTTTATTTTTTAGACCATCATCAAAGATAACAAGAGGCTTTTTTTTGCGGTCACCTTCTTCAAAACGGGTTTTGTTCTTCCGTCTGTAAGATACGAATAATGCTTAATTTGTACTAAAAAGAAATAGAAAAAGAGTATATACCTTTCTGATAGTGTGATATGAGGCGTGTGTTCCGCAGGTCTTCGAGCTTTTCTCCTTTTTTTTTCTGTTCTTCTTTGTATTTTTTCTTCGTGATTTGTTGTATTTCTTGCCACCATTCAACAGTATATTTACGCTTTCTTGAATGACCTCTTGTGACCCAATATAGTTTAGCCATTTTAGCTTTGTAGTCTCAAAATTGTAAAAGTTAAATAGGGAGTCCATGTGTTGCAATATATAAGTTATATATAGCATGTATCGTTGAGTGGATGCAGTTTTTGGCGAAGGTATATTTGTTTCAATGCTTTCGATACCTAAGCTTTGTTTACGACCTTGTTGTGCTTTCTGGCGGTTTACAGTTCCACTCATACTGTAGTACTCAGCAGAGGACAGACGGCGTATGTCGGTGCCACCGTGATAAGAGACAAAGGCATCCTTTCTTCCTGGGTCCACAGTACATGGACGAAAATATTTATCTACTTCGTCGGTCGTAAAATCACTCAGTTCTAGAGAAACACCATATGCTACTGACGACAGAAGCACCTTTCTACAGAACAAGACACTACATGTATAATCATCGGTGTACATTCCATTAAGAAACATCCTTCCTCTTTGCTCGGGCATATTTTTGAGCTCTTCCCAACTACATGATTATCATTAATAACTTGAATATAGAAATATCAAATAGTAATACCTTCGAAATCCTAGCTTTTTAAAATCAAACATTTGGAAGAACTGTCTTTGGTTATGATCAAATGGAGACTCGTTGATTTGCTTTTCTTGTTTTGCCTCGGGGAGAATGCCTGTGAGGTTCTGAGCGTCGACCTTTATAAATCGCCAGCCCAACCCGGGATTCGGAAACAAACTAAAAAGTCTGGGAGGTACGAACTTGCTGGCATTGTCTTTGTCAATTGGAGAAGGTTGTGCCATATGCAAATTTTCATACTGTTCTAGAATATGCCTTAAGACAGGTAGAATTTTGAAAGGTCCATTATTCAAGCTGACTTTTGACACTGGAAGCGTGGGCATACGGTTCTTCATTTCTAAAGTTAAGGGATTCAAAAAACTGGAAAGACTAGAAGCCACATCCGAATCAAAAAGGCCAAGTATTTCATCAGGTATAGAAGATGGTTCACAACGTACGAGTACTTCATCATATACATGGTTATACACCAAGTTTTTAAGGCAACCAATCCTTACATTCTAAAACACGTAGGTTAATATGAATGCATTAGACAACTTTTTTTTTGTTTTGTTTTGTTGTCGCTTACCGGGTACTTTCTCTTCAGGATATAGATAAAGTAATTACATATAATATTTTCGAAATTTTCAATATAGTAATTATTATAACTG